AAGAAAGAGACTGATTCAGAAAGGAGGGTCGAGCCTCGACTATATACATGTAAGTTTTTTACTTTTCATTAAGTATTTTGATTTACTTTTATATAAATTTTGAAATACTAATTCAATATATATAATTTTTCATATAGGTTCGCTTCACATGCAGCTGACGTGGGGGAATTCATACGCAGTCAACCACCTAATGAATCGGGCGAGGCAATCCAACTTTCGGACGAGGATGCTGAAAGAACACTCCTTGAGTACTTTATATACTTTGAACTAGACAAAAAAATTTAGTTCTATTGTGTTAGTTCTTTTTAGTTCGAATGGGCTTGTAATAAGCGTGAACTTAGTTTTGTTAGCTTAATGTGTTAGTTCTATTGATTGTTGCTGGCATAAAATGCCTGTTTAGGATGTTTGGTAAGCTGGCAGGTGGTGTAGCTACCAAAACAGGCAGTTTTTGCCAAAAATATACCAAGAAAAGCGACCAACTTTGGTCGCATTTCACTATAAAAAATAATAATTTTCTGGGCAATAACGACCAACCTTGGTCGCTACCTGCCCAGATTTCTATTAAAAAAAATACAATTTTTGGAAATATAGCGACCAATGTTGGTCGCTTATCTTTAAAAAAAAATTACATTCTTGAATTTAGCGACCAACTTTGGTCTCTATTGTCCAGATTTTAAAATATAATATTTGGATTAGAGACCAAAGTTGGTCGCTTTCTAATGATTAATGATAAATTAAAAACAACGTATTTCATATGTAGAGACCAACTTTGGTCGCCAAATTTATATTATTAAATTAATATAGCGACCAAAGTTGGTCACTAAAGTCAAAATCAGAATATTTAGTCCTTTTACCTTAGAGACCAAAGTTGGTCACTAATTAGCGACCAACTTTCGTCCCTAAAATAAAGGGACCAGCAATATTGCGACCAGGCATGTTTGGTCGCTTTTTGGTCGCTTTTAGGCCTATAATCGACCAACTTTGGTCACTTTTTATCGGATTTCTAGTAGTGTAATAACTAAATTTATTTGACTAATTAAATTCTTTAATTCAATTATCAAATAATAAGTTAATTAATTCTTTAGCAAAGATCAGAACACTCGTTAGTGTGCGACCCCATAGGTTCAATACTAAGCCGGTAGTAAATTGATCACATCAATATACTAATCAAGGGTGGCGTCTAGCAACACTCCTTAACGACCGGATAGCATGAAGTATACAATTTACTCTCAAGAACCAGTAGAAGAATAATGTAGTAATTCCTTCTGTCCTTATAGCTCTGGATCACCCTAGGATATGGTTCAACTGTCAAATCCTAATAGGCGACCAACTATGTGTTCATGTCAAATATAATCGACCATTGAATGACCTAAGAAACTCTTTTCTTCTTTCATTCAATTGCCCTGGCCAAGGTCTTAATTTGGTCGTTTATAATTCATGACAACATGGAGCTTAAACTCATTACCAAGAGTTGACAGATTCCATCTTGATCAATCACTAATTCTACAAGCATTTAATCATACCCAATATCCTTTCAACTATCGCCCTAGGGCCATAGGTGTCTAGTATCAAAGCACAATAAATAACTTGTCAATTACTATGACGATCTCAGGTCAAAGGAAACGGTTACATCACATTCTTCAAGAGAATATCCTATTGACAGTTTATGGTAATTCTAACCATTAGGAATTATCCAATGAGTCGGTTCAATGATCATATCTCTATATGCATCATCTATCTATGTGATTTAGTTAATGAGATCAACTAATCTTTATCCCATAAAGACGATCACATAAATATTGATCTAACCGGATTACTAATGTCCAAATTAATAATCCTACGATCAAGAACAAATTTAGATTAAATTGTAAGAGACTTTTCTCTCATTATCATCATCTCTATCACGATGACAAGTCTCAAAATTTAATCAAGGACCTTATCAAATTAATCAAACAATTAATAATAAATATGATAAAAGAATATCAAATGCCATATATATTTTATATCAAATAACGTTCACAAAAATATGTTCAAATCATGAAATATGATATTGGATCTAGGGCATATCTACTATATCCCTAACAATAAGAAGAATGACTACCAGTGACATGGAAATCGTGGCAGATGAACGTGCAGATGACGCTTAGGTGTAGCGCTTCCTCTGTTTGTTGTTTGATTTAGCTTCTTTAATTGCTTCCGGTGCTTTAGTCTAGTGGTAAGAGTTTAGCTTGTGATGTATGGGTTAGGCGCACCTCATGTATATATTCAAGTTCTGTCGTAGACATAAACCTGATATTTAAGTCGAGAAGAATAGAAGGGCTGGACCATTATCTATCGAGTTTCGAACCGTGTGTCATTGGCCCTTGGTGATTTCTCCCGCTAACGGTATATTTTGATCTGAACTTGTCAATTAAGTCTGCGAATATTCATTCCGTTCTTCCACGTGGTACCTTCGAAGGTCACAAGGATACTGTTAAAGATGTTCAATTTCACCCTTCATGTTCACAGGAATTTTGTAGCCTTGGTGATGATTCACGCCTAATATTATGCTCGAGTTTGTTATAAACCTGCTCAACAGGTTGACAAAGCACATAATGTTGGTATCCATTGTGTCGACTGGAATCGTCATAATGAAAATCTTATCGTAACTGGATCTGATTATAGTTCAGAATGGTCAGATGATAGTTCGTTACCGGGTTGGATCACCAATCCATAAAAGTTTGTTCATTGATTTGGAGACCAGCTGATTTGGAGACCAGTGGTGGAGGCGGCATGCTACAGATATGGCACATGAATTTTGTGTGGACTATTGAAGTTTGCCCGTTGCAATGTATGTAGGAGCTATGCTTATGTTATGTTATTTTTTGTCATTATCTTTTTACAGTAATATAAACATTAGAAAATGAATCAACCTGATTAACCAATCTAAGAAATAGGAATCTATAATCTTGAACCAAGTCAATGGCAGCACATACCTTGAAGCTTCTTTGGTAGAAAACAGAGAGAAGAGGTACCTTGTGGATTTAGTTGAGATGCGCGCAACCAGTAATGAGGCAGAATTAGACATAGAAGAAAAATTATATATTTTGGATTGCGATACCAACTTGCATTTGGTGGACTATTTGGATAAAAATGAATAGAAGATGTTTAGATTACTCAGCTGATTTTATCATTAAAAGTCTAAATATATACTTTTGTTCTGCTGATTGAGTAGATTGGATCATGTAAAATGATGCTGAATCACTCTTACAGATGCTACAAGCCCTAAAGCATTAAAAGTTTAGATTAGAATAGGCATGTTTTTTTGCTAGTTTTGCTTCTGTAAATAGCATACAGTTGCTACATTTGGACTGTTGACTGTTGTATTGGCCGACGTAAATATAAAGGCTTGGAATGTTAAAAAAAGTTGAGAGTAGGGCCAGAGGTGGATGCAGTCTTATAGCACCAGATTCACGTGAATCCAATAATTTTGACGTGATGCATAAATTTATGTATAAAAATTCACTGAGATTACAACATATAGTTGATCTAAACCCGTAAATTTTAAAATATAGTCAATATTAAAAACTTTAAAAGTTAAATCGGTAGTTCAAATTCTGAATTCGCTTTCGAGCCATCGAATCAGTGGTTGATGCTTGCATTAGGTTAGGCTGGCTACATTGCATCCTATTGGGGTGCGGCCCTTCCTCAGTTTCCCATACTCTGTTTAAACGCAAGATGCTTTGTGCATCATGCTTTTGAGTAGGGCGGTGGGTGGTGCAATTGGCTTGTGGGTGGTGTACACTATGAACGCTATTTTGAAAATACCGGATCAAGAAAAAGAACAAGTGATTTAAATAAAAGTAATTTGGGAGATTTTGGGTTACTTGACGGATTGAGGGGTAATTTTAAAAATTTGCTAATGATAGGGGTAATTTGACCGGATAGTATAACTTTAGGAACAAATTTGACCGAATAGTATAACCGAGGTTAAATGTAGTAAATATTCAAAAGTATATGCGTACATTTGGACCTTTTCCCAAAATAAATCATGGCTTTCTTTACTCTCAAGTACTGAATTCCACAAAACCCATGTCAATTTTATCAAACAGAACCCCAAATCAACTGATTATAGACTTGCTGTGGTAAAATTTTGTCATGTTTACACCATAGCGCGCATGTGAAAATTCATCTCTTACTGTGTCTAAACATAGTCGTTGTCCTCCTAAATATTTGTCTCCCTCGGCTCGGGTTTTGGGTTCTTGTAATGGGTTAATTTGTTTACGCAATGACTCATTTACACTAATGCTATTGAACCCATGTAGTGGAAAGTTAAACATATTTTGTGATTTTATGCTTTATTATGATAGAAGGGGAGCATTGGCGTAACTGGTAAAGTTGCTGCCATGTGACCTGTTGGGGATTCGAGCCATGGAAACAGCCTCTTGCAGAAATGCAGGGTAAGACTGCGTACGATAGACCCTTGTAGTCTGGCCCATCCCCGGACCCTGCGCATAGTGAGAGGTTAGTGTACTGGGTTGCCCTTTTTCATGAAGGTGGTCATGATGCATCTACCGAAAATTATAAGGTTGTGACGATCTTTAGTTTTACTCAGATTGAGGGCAGATATGAGAACATGATTGAGGTTTATAGCTTAAAAGCTAGTTCTTGGTCAACTATACAAGGTTTTAATAGTGGTTATATAAATGGAAAGTTGGTTGTGTTTGCAAACGGGGCTCTTCATTGGGAAGAATGTTATCGTCATCGTTTGAGTGCTTCTTGGGAGATTGTTACTTTGGATTTGGCTGCAGAGAGATTCGAAAAAATAGCATTGCCTATTTATGAAGATGGATGTATTTATTGGACATTAGGTGTTTCAAGAGGGTATTTAGTTGCTTGTTGTAACTATGATGAACCAAATAGGGCAGACTTGTGGGTGATGAAGGAGTACAGTATCGAGAAATCCTGGACTAAATTGGTTACCATCTCATCACCCGTTGATTGTAGGGGTTATATCTCACCGTTGTTTGCGGAAGAGAATGGTGTTGAAGTTCTGCTGAAGCTTGGCGGAGAGATATCACTATACAATTCAAGAAATGGATCATTCAAGCGACTTCACAGTTATCTGTCGGGTGATTTTCTTGAATTTCAAGTGGCCACATACTTTGAAAGCTTTGCTTCATCTCATTTTGAATGATCTTATGACTGGTTACAGTGTGAAGGCAAATAGAAGGAAAAAGATCTTTCTAATGGCCCTGTTCTCAGATTTATTGATAACATACTGTCTTGTCATTGTATTTTTTACATTCTAACTTATCTTGTAAGAGGAGCCTTGGCGTAACCGGTAAAGTTGCTGTCATGTGACAAAGAAGTCACAGGTTCGAGCCGTGGAAACAGCCTCTTGCAGAAATGCAAGGTAAGACTGCGTACAATAGACCCTTGTGGTCCGGTCCTTCCCCGGAACTTAGTGAACCGGGCTGCCCCTTAACTTATCTTGTAAGGTGCTTGGCCTACAGCAACGTTGAACTGACCAATGCTACTATTATCATGCTCAATTGATGTTCTACCTTTTCTGTACAATTCATATCATGCACCCTGCTGTTACAAGATCAATGAATTCACTAAAGATCTATGCTAAATAGGAAAGATTTTGTTAATATATAGCTCTTGAATTCATTAATAAACTGTGTACTGATCATCTTCTCTTGAGCTTCATGAAAGTTCCTGGAGTAATTCAGTTCATTTTGATAGGCTGTTGAATAACCAGGTGAGCGAAAACTTTATTATGTCCCGTCGAGGACATAAAGAAAAACTTGATTATACGACAGAGTTGGATAGCTTAATTACAAAATGGGGATTGTTTGCTCAACTGGTTTTAGGTTGATTACTTAAAATCTAAGTGCTGCAAGTTGTTCCAATGTAAGTTTTGGCATGTTCTTTGCTCCCCAGGAACTGTGGTAGGACCTTGAATTTTGAAAACATAATTAAGAAGAAAAACAAACAAAAAAGCTACTAGCATATGCTTTATTTTGTTTATTCTTGTGTGGTCTTCTCTGCCTTTCCAGGGGTAGGGGTAAGACTGCGTAGATCTTACCCTCCCCAGACTTCACTTGTGGGAAACTACTGAGTTTGTTGTTGCCTTGTGGTGGACTGGTGGTCTTGAGGTCCTCGTTAAAGATGTACTTTTCCACTATGTTTAGCAGCTGGGCTCTGCAAGACGATGTTATAATGTGTGAAGGAAATCTTTTTCTTTTAATGTGTTATAAGTTGGGTTATGCTAGGAATTTCATTTGATACAAGAAAAAAGAAGAAACAGGTTTAGGTCACGAATTTATATGTCAGTGTTGTGATAGGTGTGGTAATGTTGATGATATGAGTTCAGCTTACAGAAAGAAATGAGGATTCATATCGCCGGCCCCCAACTTATTTAAGATTGAAGTGTAGTTGATGTTGTCGTTGGGATAGATGTGAGATTTAGAGAATCTATAGTACTAGAGAATTCCCAGATTTTCTTAGAAGACAGTATTGGGTATTGAAATGAGATGAATTCAAATAGAACGGAGTTGATATAGAAGATCCATAGCCGCCTCGAACTAATTTGGGATAAAGGCGCAATTGTGGTTGTTATTGTAGGGTGACGAAGTTAGTTTCAATCAAGGATTCATGAAAAAGAAAACCAACAACAATTTGATTGCATTAAATGGAAGATGAATGTTCAAATGCATTACAACTTGAAAGAAGCAACGATAAGATATATAATAACATGCTCAGTGTATTCCCACAGTATTACCAGCACTGATAAGAAATCGTCCCTAATTAAATGGAAGTAAGTTCTTGACTCTTTTTTCCCCTTCATTCAGTCCACTCCTTGAACTAGCTAATTCATGAATAAATAGGCCAACAATCATGAATTTTTTTTATTCATCTGCAATTTTCACAATCTTTTTGCCTATATTATCACCACAGAATAGTCCAATAAAAGCAGAAGGAATGCTTTCAACACCTTGTGAAACATCCTCAATGGCCTTAAGTTTTCCAGCTTGTAGATACTCAACAGTTTTCGACAGGAAATCTGCGTACACTTTCATAAGATCAGCTGCTAGGAAACCTTGGATTGTAATCCTCTTGTAGACTATATCCAACATCTCGGGTGCAGCTCGTGTGCTAGCATTCGCGTACTCAGAAATAACCCCACATATGGCTACTCTACCGAATGAGTTCATGTTTGCCACTGCTGCTTCTAGCATCTTGCCTCCCACGTTGTCGAAGTAGACATCAATCCCTTGAGGGAAACACCTCTTGAGAGCAGACTTAAGGTCAGTTTCTTGTTTATAATTGAATGCATCGTCGAAACCTAGTGTTTCTTTGAGCAACTTTACCTTTTCTTGGCTACCAGCAGAGCCAACAACATAACATCCAAGTAATTTAGCATACTGTCCTACTAAATTTCCTATTGAACCAGAAGCAGCAGACACGAAAACTTTCTCTCCTGGTCTTGGCTTACAAATATCGAAAAATCCACCATAGGCTGCAAGTCCACTGAATCCAAAAACTCCAACATGGTAGGATAAGGGAAACCCCAGAGGATCAAGTTTATTCAATAGCGAACCCTCTTTTACTCTAGTGTACTCTCCCCAGGTAAGAAGCCCTGCAACCAAATCATCTTTCTTGAAGTCGGGCCGATGAGAAACTAACACTCTTCCCACACCATAAGTGTCAATGGCATCCCCAGGAGTAATGGCTGCTGCAAAACTGATTGCTGCTTGCGATGAACTTTGGCTCTTCATCCGGTTTATTTGATATGGATCAATTGATAAAAAAAGATTCTTGACAATAACCTCCTTAGACTCTGGCTCAACCATAAGGGAGAGGTTTTCGACTTTTATCTCAAAGTCTGATTCTTCTGGTGCACCATTTATGTTGGATTTTATTGCTACATAGTTGTTCTTTACTTCCATCTTGTAGGTATCTTTTGGTTTGACACAATATTAAGATAGGGGAAGAAGTGCAGAAAAATGTTACAGAAAATACTCTCAAAAAGACACATATGACTCTGGCCATTTTTAGGTCCTTATATACTGATGAAAAACATTAGATCACTGTTTCTTTTGCAAATTCTCATTAGATTAATGTGGCGGCAGCAACCCCAAAATGAAGAAAATGACAAGCGCATAGATTCTGTTATGCCGTCTTAATTAAAATAGATCGTCGCTAGCATCAAGATTGTCACTATCATTAGTATCATATATTTATAGAAATGGGTAAGAAAAAGACAATTTAAGCAGCAGTCCTTGCCGCTCATAACTAAGCTTTTTGTTGTTTCCTTTCGTCTTTGTAATTGCCTTCAACCAGACCTCACGGTGTGGGAGATTACTAGGTATGTTGTTGTTGTTTGTAATTGCCTTCAAGTAACTTCTTGACTAGGTAAGCTATGATTGAGAAAAACGTGTTAATTTAACTACATTTACAAGGACCAATGGGTAAATTAATATCAAAATAGAAAGATCTAGTTACTACGATTTTCATGTAAATCAGATCCTTTTTTTTGGATAACCGAGAAATTCTCGAGGGTTAGTGGCACAGATTTTGCTTGTGTTTAATCTTTCCCCAAAAGTCGTATGTACAGTTTGGAGGGAGATCTTTCATATCTTTCGAGAGGTTGAAACTCAGTAGACTATAGCTCGCACCTTTATCCTTCTCTACTTAAATACAAGGCTCTTATCTGTGGCTGAGTAGGGACCACACCATGCACATTTAATCCACACATTAAGCATTGCGATCTTACCACCAGCTCAAGGGATTTACATTGGCAGACTCACAGGAAGGTATAGGATTACCTCTTATGTTACTCGGACTCTTCAAAAATGGTATTGAGTGCATATCGGATCCTCCAAATTTAGTGCATTTTTGAAGGATCCGACACGGGTGCCGCAACAGTTTTGGAGAGTCCGAGCAACATAGATTACCTCATAGTTATTTTAAACCATTTTAGGCTTCCAACTCTCTATCAACCATTTTAACTGAGTATGGACGGCAGGATTTGGCTCAATTTCCAGAATTATAACAGAATAAAAAAGCAATTTTAAAATTTGATAGCCTGCAAGTAGGAACAGAATATAGCGTCTGAACTTTTCAAAGAAGATTAATAGCCTGTTTGGCCAAGCTTCTCCAAGCTGAAAAGTATTTTTATTCCCAAAGTTGTAAGTGTTTGGCCAAGAAAAAAAAAAGTGTTTTTGAGTAGAAGCAGAAACAGAAGCAGTTGTGGAGAACCAGAAAAAAGTAACTTCTTACCCGAATCACTTTTTTGATAAGCACTTTTGAGAAAAATACACTTAGAAGCACTTTTAAAAAGTTTGGCCAAACACAAATTGCTGCTTAGAAGTGCTTTTCAAATTAATTAGTCAAACACAAACTGTTTTTCATCAAAAGTACTTTTGAAAAAAACACTTTCGGAAAATGGCTTTTCCAGCTTGGCCAAAGAGGGTATAAGACAAGTAGCCGAACAACAAGAACTTAGCATTAAAAATAACTCTGCCAACCACTTGACTAGATAAAACATGCAACAATACAACATCTGATGCAACCTAACTAATAAACCATCTGAGGAAAGAGCACAAGCAAATTAATTTATCTGCTTTCCTAGTGTAAGCTAAATTACTTATCACCAACATGAGGTGAAGCTAGACTCTCAAGTCTCAACATAAGTAACAGCTTGTATTTGAAGACAACGACCTGATACAAGAATCTTCAGGGATTTGTACGAAGCATTCCCCGAGTAGTACACATTGCATCTGAACTGAGTTTCACTAAAACTTCATCACCATTCTCTGACACTGAGGTAAAATATAACCCCTACGATCGAAGGGAGACGAGAGAAACCAATTTAGTCTATGAATTCTCCATGCCATATTCCTTCATCACAAAATCCGGCCTATCTACAGTTAACATCCAATTACAGTTTCCATTTCCACAACTAGGCCACGCCATTATCACATACGTCACAGTAACCATTAACCAAATCCAAAGTCATAATTTGCCAAGCTAATTACTTATCGCCAACATGAGGTGAAGCTAGACTCTCAATATAAGTAACTGCTTGTACTTGAAGACAACGACCTGATGAATGAATATCCAAGGATCTGTACGAAGCATTCCTCGAGTTGCACAAACTTATATCCGTGCCAAGCTTCACTAAAACTTCGTCACCATTCTCTGACACAAACAAAGGTGATATATAACCCATACGACCAAAGGGTGACGAGAGTGAAACCAACTTAGTCCATGAATTCTCCACACCATACTCCGTCATCACCCACAAATCAGTCTTATCCGGATAATAGTTGCAACAGGCAACTAAACATCCACCTAAAACACTTAACATCCAACTGAAGTCTTCATTTCCATTTCCACAACGAGGCAACACCATTACTCCATACGTCTCAGTAGCCAAATCAAAAGTCATAATCTCCGAAGAAGCACCTGAATCGCGACACTGGCTTACCTCCCAGTGAAGAACTCCATTCACAAACACCCCTGATTGAGCATTCACATAACCACTATTAAACCCCTCAATCATTGTCCAAGAATTAGCCCTTAAGCTATAAATCTTAACCATATTCTCATATTTCCCCTCATCCTTAGGAAAACTAAAGATCTTAACAACCTTATAATCATCATTACTACCATCATAACCAAACCCATATCTAACATAATAACTTACACCACTTTGAACAAATGAATCTTGAAATTCTTTGTATTTTCCAGTTGATGGGTTCCACAAAATCATTTTTAATGACACTGCTGTTAAACATAACAATCCATTACAAGAACCCACAAATTTTGCAGATCCAATAGGGGCTTTCAAAGTATAATCAAGATTAGCAACATTCATTGAAGAATTTTTTTCACACACTAGAGAGTAAATAGAGCTCATTTTACCCACTAAACCTGATACTGAAGCTACTATAGCAAGTCTAAGATTCACATTTTTGTCATCTTGAGCAGAAAATTTGATTTGGGTTTTGATAAAATGTGGACTTGACAGTAAATAAAGCCAAGATTTTGAAACACACCTTAATTTCAACAGGGATTTTACTGGCAACCTTATGAGAATTTCAATGATAATTTCATCTGGAAGGCATGAAAGTTGCAATAAATCTTGGGAAATTTTTGTGGGTTTTTTTCCAGATATTTGAATTATTATTGGCTTTTGATTTTCCATTGAAGCAAAGGTCTTCTAGATAGGGATGTGGAGGAGGTGAGGAGAGATATGATAGAAGTCTTTGGATAGCTGACTTTGGGGTTTTCTCCAAATTTTTTGGTAAAGGTTATAAGACAAGTTGCAATGGAAGTCCTTATAATAAAGTCTAAATTAATTTCAGCCAGAAAGTTTTAATGGTCCAAACGATAAACATAACAGTCCAGGTGGCAAGAAATCTATATATTTATATAATATAGGGGGCAAGAAATCTATATTTATGTATATATTTATAAACATAACAGTCCATGTGACATCGCACTCTATATGATTAGGAAAACCATTTATCTTTTATCACATTTTTTTGCTATTTACTCTATTTTCAAGTTTAACTAATTCCAGAAAATAAAAAAGTAACTGCTCATTGTCTATAACGTGTTTATCCACCATTTCATTTTCTCTACTAATGAAGAAAAGTGACTGTTCATTTTTTAATCTTCTTTTGACAAAATGAACGAAGGTGTATGTTCATTGACTATAAAGTCTTCTAGTCACCTTCTCATTTATGTCTGGAAGATTAATTAAAATCGAAGACTCACTACATATCGTGGCATAGCTAAGTACGCTCTCTTTCTCATGGCACTCACGCTTCATCCCTCTTTGTGCATTTTACTTTTTTTTCTCTTTTCATCAATATAAATTGTAGAGGGTTTGGTGCGAGCAAAATATGTTTTTCATTGGAAATATTCACTGTAACGTCTGCAATACAAAATTTTCATTCTCCAAATATGTTAAAGCTTCCACTGTGTACATAAGGGGAATTCAATAGATACCAGAACAATGACATAAAATGTAGGCATAAAATGTTTTGAGACTATAACTAGGGGTACGGTGTACATGGACCGGGTTAGTTCGATTTTTATCAAAACCAAACTAAACCAATTATATCGGTTTGGATTGGTTCGATTTTGTCGAATTTTTTTCTTACATGGATATTATTTCACTCTTACTTTGTTATATTTTTTATAAGTAAATATATAGTTAGTAAAAATTAAAAAAATTGACAAACATATCATCTATTAACATATTTTTACGGGAGAATTTTCTTAATAATATATGATAGTTATTTTTTTAGTCGCCTGGCAATAATTTTTCGTTATGTATAATGTTTTAATAAAACATAGTATTATACTGCGTTTTACATTTAAAAAATAAATTATTAATTAAAATGCGATATTATACTACGTTTTCCTTTAACGGCTAACTTTTCGATAAACTAAAACGCAGTATAATACTGCATTTTAGTTAGAAATGTAACTTTTTTTAACTGTATAAAGGAATTTTGAGTCCAAAATACCATTATTTAGGTTTCGAACTCAATGTGATGCTTTTTCTCTTACCCGACACAACATATGGTATGTTAATTATGCACTTCAATTGTTGAGCATTCATGGAGAGGTCAATTTAAATGAATGTTAGATGTGCTTCTCAAAGACCAATTCTCATACTTCATTATAAAAAAATCTTTGTAGAACTTATCATTCTGGTAGTAATGCCAACAACATTAGTTCATGTCACATTTTTTATTGAAATATATTATTTTTGTATTTGTTTGGTATCTCGGGTCTATTATACAGGGTGATGGGGAGATTGACGAAGATGTCACACATCACATCGGAGCGGAATGGATGAAGTGGAGGCTCGCTTCTGGTGTCCTATGTGATAGGACTGTGCCTTTAAGATTTAGGGTAAGTTTTATCGAGTGGTGGTTCGACCTGCTATGTTGTATGGGGCTGAGTGTTGGGCAGTCAAGAACTTCCACGTGAAGAAGATGAGAGTAGCAGAGATGAAGATGTTGAGATGGATGTGTGGGTGTACCAGGCGAGATAGGATTAAGAATGAAGCTATCCGGGACAGAGTGGGAGTAGCCTCTGTGGAGGACAAGATGCGGGAGTTGCGACTGAGATGGTTCAGACATGTTAGGAGAAAAAGCATTGATTCCCCTGTCTGGAGGTGTGAGAGGTTGGTCATGGAGAGTTTGAGAAGGGGTCGAGGTAGGCCTAAGAAGTACTGGGGAGAAGTGATTAGGCAGGACATAGCGTTGCTTCAGCTCACTGAGGACATGACCCTTGATAGGAGGGTGTAGAGATCGAGGATTAAGGTAAAAGGTTAGTAGGTAGTTTATAGTGTTTACCGATAGACTTAGTAGCGTGCATATCCCTTTATATTCTTAGATTTTTGTTACGATATGTGATTTTGTTCGCCTTAGGTATTGTATTCCCTTGCTATTATTTGATACTACTTATCCTTTATCTCCCCTTTTTCTCTTCCATCTTTTTCCTTCCTTGCTTCCCTCTTCCTCTTCTTGCGCTTCTTGCCGAGGGTCTATTAGAAACATACTCTCTACCTGCATTAGGTAGGGGTAAGGTCTGCGTAAAGATTACCCTTCCCAGACCCCACATGTTGGGATCAAACTGGGTTTGTTGTTATTGTTGTTGTTTGTTTGGTATGCTTCATGTCTACTCATCCGTATGAATATGAGAGCATTGATCCAAGATTTAAAAGAAAATCTCTATTACATTTCCTAACTTATCGTAAAATTTGACGACTAAAGTGATTGAACTAGAAGTATTTTATTAATTTATGTCAGTCCTCTAATTATGGTATTCATGATAAGCAATTCTCCGGTGATTTTCTGATTTAAATACTTATAATATCATAGTTATAAGTGTTGTTTTTCTTTTTTATTGTTATTGTTGTTGTTGTTTCACTTGATTTAAACAAAATGATTTCCTTTTCTCTTTTGATAATAGGATTAAAATAACCTTAGTAACCTTTGAAGCGAGATATTTGAGATTATACCATATATCATAGTGCATCAAGAAGGCCACAGTTCATCTTACCTAAAACCTTGGCTAAATAATAGTAAATATATAACATGGCTCAGTGAAAGCAAATAATATCAAAATAGGATCTGACATATATTCCTTGATAGGAGCAGCATTCAATCCAAAAGAAAAATAATTTTCTTTTCCTTTTGATCGATTTCTATGGATCAACTTACTGGATAGTTCGCTTTTTTCTTTCTTTAGACTTTCTGTTAGTAGAGAAAAAAAGTTTTGTCTCCAAGCAAATAAATATTTTATCTCTTCTATCTAAATTTATGTTATTAAAATTTTCTTTTCTAAATTCACTAACTTACCGCGCGAAGCGCGGATAAATGTACTAGTTTTATAATACTTACAAAGTTTTATGAAAGCCCAGCCGGCTTGATCTAAAGTTGACAATGTCATACGATATTAAGATCTTGTTTGGACATAAGAAATTTTTCTTTTTTTTGAAATAATTATTACTTTTTTTTGAAATCAGCGTTTGTTCATAAAATTTCCAAATTTTCACTTGAAAATGCATTTTGAAAATTTTCGAAAATTTGAAAAACTCAAAAAATCTATTTTTCAAAATTTTCACTTAAATCACTCACAAAACTTTAAAAATAACCCAAAACTATATTCACGTCCAAACACAACTCAAAATTTTAAATATCATTTTTCACCCTTTTTGGTATTTTACAATTCTTATGTCCAAACGCCCACTAAAAGTATCTTCGGGTTGGTTTATCCCAAGAGTTGGTCAGAGTCCAGGTTCGGCGGGACGAGTATGACAATGGTCGTTGGATTAAACCAACCTGAAAATACTCTTAACATGATGTGATATACTCCGCTTTGGGCCAAGCCGCTACGGCTTTCCCAAAAGGTGTGATGATCCAAAGGGTCATCTTGTGTTTTAGAATTTGAATCTGAGTTCCGAGGCCTTGAAAACCTCATTTTCTTTCTTCTCGATTTGTGTGCGCAGTCCGGGCGCATTTCCGAAAAGCTTTTATGTGAAATTTAAGAAAAATATTGAAATTTGCCTTTAAAATTGAGTAAAGTTGACTTTGGTCAATGTTTTTGGTAAACGGACCCAGACCCGTGATTTGACGGTCCCATAGGGTCCGTAGTAAAATATGGGACTTTGGCGTATGCCCGGAATCGAATTCCGAGGTCCCTAGCCTGAGAAATGAATTTTTGAAGAAAATTGTTTGCCGGAAAATATAAGAATTTTTAGAAATGAAATAGTGTGTAATCTCATTGGTATCGGGCTCGTATTTTGGTTCCGGAGCCCGGTACAGGTTTGATATAGTATTTAAGTCATATCTGTGAAATGTGGTGAAAAATGGAAGAGATTTGATATAATTCGAACCCTTGGTTGACAAATAAAAAATTTGAACTAGCTTGAGAATTTCATGAGTTTTTGGTGTTAAATTCGTTGTTTAAGATGTTATTTTGGCGATTTGATCGCACGAGCAAGTCTGTATGATGTTTTAGACTTGTGTGCATGTTTGGTTTGGAGCCTCGAGGGCTCGGGTGAGTTTTGGATAGGCCACGGGATGTTTTGGACTTAGAATTTTTTACTGGTATAGCTGAACTTGTTGCAGGCCTCTGATCTCGCATTTGCGAGATCAGGCATTGCAATTGCGAACCCTGCAAGTTCCGCATTTGCGAGCTCCTCATCGCAAATGCAAAGAGAAGTTGGACCAGGCAGACCTCGCAATTGCGAGGAAGCCTTCGCATTTGCGAAGTAAGGTGGAAAGGCAGTGATCGCAAATGCGATCTTTTGGTTGATTTTGCGGAGAATTTGAGGTCGCAATCGCCAAGGCAGCAGAGGTGTGAGGGTCCTCGCATTTGCGATGGTACCTTCGCATTTGTGAAGCTCAGGTCGCAAATGTGACATCTGCAGCTGAGTAAAAGGTTCTTGGACGAGATTTTTCATTCATTCTTCAAATTTCCAAAACCTAAACTCCAAGAGGCGATTTTCCTAGAGCAAGTTCTTACCCAAATCATAGCTAAATAATTTTTAACTTATTTCTTCCAATCTATTTCATCTTTTTACAAGATTTCATCACAAAATCTAGGGTTTTTCATGGGAAATTGGGTGTTTTTGGGTAGAATTTAGGAATTTCAAAATTTGGGGATTTAGACCTCAAATTAAAGTTGGATTTCAAAACCAATTGCATATTTGGGCTCGTGGGTGAATGGGTAATCGGATTTTGGTCCAAACTTCGAGTTTTGACCAAACGGGTCCGGGATCGATTTTCGT